GAAGGCAAAGAACACCAAGTTTCATGAGCAAATATTTGCATATTTTCCACTCGTTCAAGCAGATAAAGCATTTCAATTCTCTGTTGCATCCTCAGGAGAGCCAGGAACATCCTTTAAGGATGTTTCCCTTTCTTGTATCTCCCTGCCTCTTTTATCTACTGGCTCTCCGATTTCAGCAACTGGTTAACTGCTTCCTGCCCCCTTCCCACACCCCCTTGCTCCACCACCCTGTAGTAGCTGAAGCAGAACATGTCCTGGACAGTTTTGATGTTGCCTGAGCTGAGCTGCTGTGTTTCCCTGCTGATGACAAATACAGTGGCTCCCTAACAACGCTTCAAATGACATTAAGTGTGGGCTGCGTTAGTAACAGCCTGGAAATGCACCCTTGCCTCTCTTCGCTGGAAACCCTCTCCAATCGCCATTCACTGCCCTTCCAGTTTCTCTCCTGAAGATCCACTGCAGCACAGAAAGGTCACACCAAGTGAGTCCGAAGCTGCCCCAGGCCACCACTGAGATAGCAGAAATGTGTTTGGGGGTGCTTGTATGGTGGGTCTGAGTGTGGAAAGGGTCATTTGCAAGGTCAAGTTGTCATCTCTTAGTTTTAGCCTATGTGTGGGCTGTGTGTGTCATTTTCTTGTGTTCATATTTAGGCCAAGAGGTACATGCGTGTCTAGGTATGCATGCATCTGTGTGGGTGGCCACGTATGGTCTCATGCACACATAGACTTGAATCAAAGCACCCGCAGACACGAATATGCGTACATATTTATACACATTCACACGGTCACATGCACCCGCACACACAATCACGTAAATACTCATTTGTATGCATGCCTACGCAACACATACGTATGCCTCTCTATATTTGCTCCTGTGCACGCTGACATGTGTGTATGAACCCTCCAAGCAGCTGGCAGAATGGGCTCTCCATGCCTCTAGCACCCCGTCTGTGATAAAACATTTGTTGGGAAGAGGCATTGCACAATGCTGCTGAACTCATTGCGGCCTTTTCTCGTCTTGCAGCTCCCATCTCTACGTGACGAGAATAAAACCTTTTGTGCAACACAGGGCTTGACGGAGCCCTTATCTCCGTGTCTCTGCACCCAGAATAGAAAAATCCATTTCCACATCTGACTGGAACAAATCCCCCTGAATGCAGCCAGAATTTCACGTAGCCACTGCGCACAATCCCAGTGGCCTCTGGGTTGCCCGGAGTCAACCACACCGTCATTAGGAGGGGGATCATAAGGGCAGTCAGATTAATGCTGTTACCACAGAGAAAGCTGGGGATTCACCAGGAGGAAGACAGAGCTGAAAACAGTGGCAAGGGTCAGGAGGTAGTAAGGTACTATTTGTCATTTTTAAACATCTGCTCCTATGGAAAACATCCTTTTAATCAATGGTGATACTTTGAAGAATTTTGTTATTTTCCCCTCATGAATTTCAGACAAAAAAAATGATTTTCTTTTCCCTCCCCCAGTCTTATTTTCAGTTCATCTCAATTTTTTTTTTCCCCAATTTGTCACTGAAAAATAGGATGTGGCATAGGGGGGAGAAGAAAACACAAGACAGAATGATAATTGTGACCATTTTCTTTTAAACTCCTGCTTAAACTAAAGGCATCTCGTTTTCTACAGGTCTTCCTGGAAAAACGTTTTGTTTTCCCCAGCAGGCTCCCCTGCAGAGCTGCCTTGCTAGTGGGCTCTGACTCCATGTATCAAAATGATGTCTCCTTGGCGCACTTGCTCGGTGCTGGCGTTGCAGTGCTTGGGCTCTTCAGAGATGTAGGTATTTTAAGAAGGCAACCAGTCACTGGAGTCTCTTGAGTGGTGACTTGCAGCAGATGGAGCTGCAAAGGTGTGCGAAATGAAACCTCAGCTCAGTTCAGTGGTGAAGGAGAGTGTCTCTGTTAAGTGTGTTGGCAGCCAGGCAACTCACCCATCTCTCCAAGGCAGCTGGGCAATCCCTCTGTGGAGAAGGAAACCCTTCCTATATCTGCCCCCTGCTACCCTGACATGCCTTCTGCAAGGTCCTCATTAGCTGTCACATACTTTCTTCAGTGCCTGGTCATCAGCCATGAACAGCACTACAGGCTCCCAAGCTAATACCATTTCTCCTCCATCCCACAGCGATTGCCATGCCAGTGGTGCCCAGCATTCACCTTGCCTTGCTCTTCACCGCGAGAGGAGCAACACAGACCACTGTTTAAAGTGCTGTGCTATCCATCTATCTGACCACTTTGTAGCCAGACCTTATGACCTTCCTACTGTTTGCTGCCCCATATAGAGGCAGGAACTTTGGCAGTTCATCTTTATTCTGCTAGGATTTCTTGTCTGTTCTTCATCTAGTGGATGCTGCAGGAGCTCCCTAAGAAAAAAAAAAACCAACCAAACAAACAAAACCCCCACTTTTTTAGTCCAACAGAATGTGTGCCCCACACTCATGAATAGTTTGGCTGCTTTTCTCACTGGGGCTTACACTGTGGGCAGCTGATGCATGTGTGGAAGGAGGAGGAGATGTGAAAAGGTAGCAGAGGATAGAAACTGGCTACCAAGCACTTTCTTTTCCCATGAGTTGAGCCAGCACTCCTAGGTGTCTGCCCACGCTCAGGGGAGCAAGCACACTTTGTAAAAGGAGCAATGGCTGTGTGGTATCACTGATAGCTCAGATTCTGAGGCTGAACTTGCTGGTGCCGTGCTTGACGCCAGCATCCCAGGCTCCAAGATGAAACAAGAGGATGGAGGATACATAGAGACAACTGTCACCTCTGCCAGGGAGGTGATGGCCCTACCAGTCACTGAGAACACAGCTGAATGTCTTTTTGGGTCATGTTTGCAGTCCCTTCCTCTGTTCTCTGGCCTGTCTAGAACATGTCTCCTCATCTGATGCTCTGCTACGATCTTTCCCAAGCTCGGCTGTCCTGCCCACCAGTTCCCCTGATGCCTACCAGGCTTTCACTTCTTCTCAGGTCACCTTTGGGTGACCTTGTCACTTGCTTCCTCATGAAGTGATTCTGTTCCCATCATCCTCAGCTGCTGCAGCTTGTTCTGCTTCTTCTCAGTAGAGGACTTTTGTCTTCTGTCCCAGCACACCTGCCCCCATGCCATCGCTTCCCACCTTAGGCCTTCTCTCAAGTCACCTGTGAGACACCTTTCCATCACCCAGCTCACTCTCCTCACCAAACCTCCACAGACTGCCTCCCTCAACATTTCCTGATCTCAGGGAGACATATCTCCTCCTGGTGGATCCCTCCTTCCCATCTGTCAAAAATTATCTGTAGAGAAAAGTGTCCATATATAACCAAGGGCTCTGGTATGAGAGTCTTCTTGGTGGCTGTAGCTTAGCAACAGCATTAGTGAGAAGTTCAAGGTGTGTGGGGACAGACATTTAGCAGAGCCTGCAGGGATGAAGCCAAAACAAGCGAGAGACCTTCATCCCACCAACCCTTGTACATTGCTGCTCCTCTGGCCTGCACACTCAGATTGGTCCACCCACAACTTTCCTCCAGCAACCATGCACAGAAGCAAGCACTCATCCACCACTCATAGCAACACACATACCCTCATGCTCTTACCCAAGCATTCACATGCATGTGTGCATTTTCATACATATTTGTATGCCTGCACAAACGTTTCTGTGCTTAAACTTCCCACAAAGACATAAGCACACTTTCTCGTCTGTGTTTGTATGCACTCATATGCATGCATACCGCCTTAGCCATGGTTTTACACATTTATACACACCTCACAGCCACACACCACATCAGTGCCCAACCCATCCACCTCTTCCACCAGCACTGGCTCCTCCATCTCTGACCCTGGTCAGCCATTCTCACACACTTCATCAAATTTTTGCATACAACCACCCTTGTATACATGCAGACACATCATTTCCTCTCCATCCTGAGCCAAAAATCCTACCATTTCCCTTAAGACAAATCAATTCATGCACTGGAGATCCCACGACCTCCCTCTGCTCCCTGCCCCCATCCTGTACTGTCACATTTCTTGATCTCCTGAACCAGCCAGATGTTACTCCATACAAAGACCAACTCATCTCAAAAACATTGTGTACTCTCAGGAGATCCAAATCTATAGCACCTTCCCTCCCCTAAACACAAAGGATGGTTCTGCCTGGTTGGCCTTTCAAGTCCAAAGGCTTTTTGTTTATTTACAGTAAGGCTTAGGGGTGGGAAAAGGGGAAGGACAATTCAGCTTGTAAGAAATCTGTCTCCAACCCACGCCTCGTTGTCTTCCTCTCTGTTCTTGTTACACCTTTCACCGGGGTGCAGAGGCACCAGGAAAACCCTGAAGAATGCAAGGTTCAGGAAAGGATTGTCCCATTTGTTCTGTCAGATAAGTCTCATCAGCCTGCCCAAAGTCCATGAGAGCCCTGGAAAGAGAAAGAAGGCTTTGAGCAGCCAGAGTGGTCTCCAGGCAGGACCAGCACAGGTAGGGAAGTTGTCCCCAAGACTTATTGGAGACCTAGAGAAGGGTCAGCCACTCATGCAACTGGTGTGTCTTAGCTGCAGACATTTTTCTTCCTGTTCTTCCTTTAGGGTAAACTGTTTCTCATATTTACAAGGAAGATAACCAAGGCACTGGGATGCCTGTTCTTGACTATCAATGACATATGTCGTATATGCCATTCTGAGGACTTCTTTGAGGTGCCGCAGTCAGATGGCAGCTGATGCCCTTCACAGCTGGGTGAGCTAAGGGTGGATCCTGCTGTCTAGGGACTCCATGCTGTCAGTGCCTTTCACCTCTTCAGCTCTCCCCGGATCCAGTCCTTTACCTCATACCACACAAACCTCGTGTCCCTTCCAAAGCCAAGAACAATGCCTTGCTTCTTCCTCAAGCTCACGGAGACCTGTTCATCTTTAAGCAGAGTCTTGGCCTTCAGTACTCCCTTGTATCAACCTCTCCTTTGATGTTGAAAAGCATAGAGGGTGAAGGGGATGTCATGTCCCAATATCTCCTTCCCCTGCACCATCACTTTCATCATAAATAACTGACATGCAACTTGTTGCTCTTTTCACATCCCATAGGCTCCTCAGGGAGTGGTTTTTGCTCATTGCTTTCTCCTTCCCCACTGCTTAGAGGGTGTTCCTGCCTGTCCTTACCATTCTGGGTGATCTTGCTGATCTCACCCTCTTCCCCTTCATCATCAGTCTTCTCTGGAGGACATTCTGGCACTTCCTGGCTCTGGACTCGGCGGGATGGCCTGAGGATGGCCCTCCGGAAGCCCTGCTTGAAGCGGTAGGAGAGGAAGCCATAGATGATAGGATTGGCGCAGCTGTTAGCATATGGCAGCACCACCACAAGGAAGTAGACACCAAAGAGTGATGGCTCCTCTGGCAGTGGGCAGACGACATTGATTATGTTGAGGACATAGAAGGGGAGCCAGCAAAGTACAAATACAGCCACAACAGTCACCACCATGCGGGTCACCCTGCGTTCTGAAAGCTTGTGCTTGGATGACAGAGCCCTCACCCGCCTGCCAGATGAACGGACTTTCACGACGATAAGAAGGTAGCAGAGACAAATCACCAGCAGTGGCCCGAAGAACCCCAGGGTAGCAGTGTAGATGATGAAGCCAGCTCTCCAAACTGAGGCAGGCTCTGGCCACTGAATGTGGCATGTGCTCATACCTAAGGGCACATCTGAGAAGACCACCACAGGCAGCACCACCACAGAAGACAGCACCCACACAGTTGCACTCACAGCCTTGGCCACCCGTGCTGTCCGCCATTTGGAGGACTTCCCTGGGTGGACCACAGCCAGGTAGCGATCAACACTCATCACTGTCAGGCAGAAGATACTGGTGAACTGGTTAATGGCATCCACAGCCATCACCAGGCGGCACATGAAAGACCCAAATGGCCAGTAGGACAGGGCATTTTGTGCAGCCAGGAACGGCAGGCCCAGCATGAAAAGCTCATCAGCTAGGGCCAGATTTAAGATGTAGACATTGGTCACTGACTCGCTCACAGAGTGCCGCAGCACCACGTAAATGACCAGAGAATTTCCAGCCAGTCCCACCACGCAGACAATGAGGTAGACCAGGGGGATGAGGACACCGCTGACAACCACACCAGGGCTGGCAGTGGCGGAGCTGTTGGGGGTGGTGAAGCCTGTCCAGCTGCCAGAGGCATTCCCCTCCTCTGACGCTGCCGGTGTGGGGAGGCTGAAAGCAGAAGTGTCCATAGCAGAGGCAGGGAAGAGGGCAGGGGACAGTGTCCTTGCAGGATCAGCTAGCAATCTAGACATGAGAGGAGGAGAAAAAAAGCCATTGATACAGTGAACATGACAGCTAAATAAGCCACAGATAAAATCACCACATTAATGGTCTGTAGGTATAGACAGGCATGAGAAGTCAAGGTGAGTTTGTGGATGCTGGCAGCCACTGGAAGAGATAGGCCAATATTGACCCCATCTAGTCCTGGGAGACACAGTGGGCATGGAGGGACAAACAGGGACTTGGCTTAATGTGGGCCAATGGATCCTGAAAGATCCTTTGGGGAAAGAACCACAGGCTAGGATAGGGAAAGGGAAATTTCTCATTTTCTGCTAATGGCTCCAGTACTGAGGACATAGTCACCAGGGCCCTGGTTCTTATTTATGAGTGACAGGTTCCTTATGAACAAAAGAGGGAAGAGCACCCGGTGACAAAGTGCCATTGCAACTCTGGATCCCCCATTCACTGAGTATCCTCCTGCTTGCTGAAGCTCTTGTTAGACTGGCCAGGTTATCATGGGGTTGTGACCCCCACTAGCAGAAATGAAAACACCTCCACTTAGTCCAAGCCCAGAGGTTGAGCCCAGCATCTGAGCTGGAAAGTAGCTGGTTTGTGTTATGCCATTTTGAGAATAAAGGAAAAAACAGATTATTTTGTGTACACCAAGAGGGATCGGCCCAGATCTCTCGTCTCTTTCTCTCTTGTATTTTCTCTCTCCTTCTGCAACACACTGCTAATGAAAGAGGCTCTGCCTGCTCTAGCTGTCTGCAACACCAAAGCAGTGCCCCAGCCTTCCTAATCTGAGGTGCCCAATTGCCCATCACATCAGGATTTGGCATGGAAACAGCACTCAGCTCACTCAGAGAGAGCCTTGAACAAACAAGCTCTGCTGACACTGGGTGAGGAGCTGCAGGGACAGAAGAGACAGATAAGAGAAGGGCATGTGTTTTGTCTTCTGTCAGGGCTCCCAATATGTGAGTGACAGAGCCCAGCATATACTCCAGACCAGAGACACCCTGGAAAACCTTATGCAGGGGAGCTTTGTGATGCTTTCAGGATCACCTGGCAAAATTTTCTGGAAGTGTGGACTGTCAGGGTCACTCTCCTGATTAACTACCTCATTGGAAGTGAGGATGACTTGGTGGAAGACAACAGCGATCCTGAGGCTCACCTTTACCCATTCCAACAAATCTCTTAGGGCTCTGAAGCTCCTTTGTTACTGAAAGGAAAGCTTGGGATCTCAAAGGAAAGGACTTCCAATATTATCTGCTGTCAGGAGGCCAGAGACACTCCAGAGACTTTTCTCCAGGATGGGATTCTCTGTAGCATCATAACTCTGTTCACATATGTCTTGATATTTCTGCCTTTATTACTTTTTGTAGACGTTATTCCAACTTCTGGAAAGGGGAGACCTGAGCTTTGGGTGGATTCCATGGATACCAGATAGGCAAACCCAACAGATTCCACAGGTGTATCAAGTTTTATGCTGAAAGAACCTCATCTGATAGGCCCCACAAAAACCACAATTGGGCAACTACATCTTAAGGCCACTTCTACAGGCTATTGCATAAACGTTTCCGGCTTTGCTTAAATGACCTTTGAAGGGCTGAAATTGTTTAGACTTTCTTTATTTGCAGGCTGTGACACACCGTCCTGATAGAAGCCCACCTCTTGGGGTCCTGCAGTACTGGGTTGTCCCACATATCATGAGTGGATGCAATGAATGGGCAGAGCTGGAAGTGATTTGAAACTCTGTTTCTAAGCCTGAGGATCTCTCCTCTGATGTTTTTTTCCAGTGCCATTCCAGTGACGCAAGTCACTTGCTGGAGGAAAGGGGAAGGCAGTGGCTGCTCTGGGGACAAAGACCCCTGCAAAGAGTGGCAGAGACCAGAACAGTATGTTCATAAAATGATGATCCTCTAAAAGGTGAGGGGATAGTTAGGAATCTCTTTGTATGTTTGTTCTGCATGCAAAGGAATTTCTAAAAAAAGCCTTTGGAGACAAAGCCCTACATATATCAAATACAGATGAAGGCATCCGTGTTGGGGCTGAAGTGCATATGGGGAAGTGTCTGGGGTCCAAACCTCAAAGCTGATTGCTCAGACTGTGGTTTAGCAATACAGTAAACCCATCTTCAGGTCTCCAAAAGCCCTAATAGAAATGCTAAGGCATGCAACAAAGCACTGATTCACTATAAACTCATTCTCCTGGCTGCAGTAAAGAAACTTTGTCTTTAAGCAGGCATGGTCTATATGTATCATTCTAACTTTGTCAAGTACCATCTACCAGCTCAAACGCCATATCACATATTCTGGCTAGTTTGTCATAACAACCATTGGACACCAGTCCTCATCTGTGTTGAATCTGCTCTGCTGGCTGTTTTGGCAGCTCCCGTGTAGGCAGGAATTGATGAGGAACCTTGATCTCAGACTGTGTGTTGGCATCTGTGTGAGGTCTGTCCCTAGCGATGTGGACCGCACCTGTTGAAAGAGGCTTGGGAACCCTTAACAGGCGCTGCCAGAATATACCTGGTCCATGCATCTGGAAAGCAGAGGGGAGGCAGAGAAGTAGGAGGAGATGGTAAATCGGTGCTACTGGTTTCTTTCAGGAAAAGAATAAATACATCCGTTTCTGCAATGAAGGAGAGGAGGAGGTGGACGCTAGATGCTGAGCTAGATGCTAGACCTGGTTACAAAACAGGAATAGAAGCTGGAAGGGACCACAAAGTCCAGCAACCTGCTGCCCCTTTGCCACCCTCCCCTCCAGTCCACCTTGCTTCTCATGGCCCTGCTCCAGCTCAGGACTCCCTCTGCCTCATTACAGGGCTGAGGTCTCTGGTGGGGACCATGCTGGGCTGGCAGAGTCGGGGGATCGGGGAGGATGGCCAGGTTTCCTTCTTTGGGACTGCAGAGTGAACTTCTGCATGGACTCATGCCCGCGGTAGACAGCAGAGGAGAGCGGGCAGAGCCGCCTGGTACTTACGTGTCGTTGGGATGTACATTTTCCTCTGCTCCACCGAGAGAATCCGTGTCATATTTTTCCTCTTCCCCTTTTCTTTAAAAGCAATTGAGCAAAGCAGCCCCAGGAGGGAGCGAGTCCCCACCATGCGCTACCGGCGACGCAAGTCCTTCTTCCTGGACCTGCCCATCTCTTCTTCCGTGACTGGTGTGGGACTGGGGCCCGGTCCCGTGTCCCACTGGTGGGCGGGAGCTGGTGGGGGGGTGTCGGGCTGGTGTTCGTGCGGGGGTGCGCGATCCCTCACTCTGCGTTGCTCCCCCGCGTTCCCCTCGCCATCTGCGGAAGAGGGGGCTCGGCTGCCGGGCTGGGAGCGGAACGGTGGCTACCGGGGGGAACAGATGCTGGCAGCCAATCGGCGCCACGCACTGAAACACCAGCAGGAGAAGGAGAAGGAGGGGATGGACTAGAAGGCAGAAGAAGGAGAAGGAGGGGATGGACCAGAAGGCAGGAGAAGGAGAGGAGCAGTGGGGGGAAGAGACCGGGATGGAGAGAAAAAGGGGGAGAGGTAGGTGCAGGAGAGGGGCAAGGGGAGAAGGAAAGCACAGAGCAGGGGAGGATGAAGGAATGCAGAGTGCGGTAAAAGAATCTGGGGACAGGGGGAGAGAAAGAAGAGAGGGATGCAGAGAGCAGCTGTGTGGTGGGAGAGTGGCGTGGCAGGAGAGGGGACTCGGCTCAGCTCCCCTCAGTGGGGGGAGTTGTGGTGGTGCAGATCGCCCCGGGAATGCCCAGGGGGAGGGGCTCCCTGTTCAGAGGATCTCGCAGACAGGACCGGTGCTGCTCAGAGCTGCAGGGGCACGGGAAAGCCTTCGGGCTGGCAAGGTGCTCAGAAACCGGGGTGGATGCTGAGCACACAAACCCTTCTCTCTTCTCTTCTGCCCTAAGAGCACCTCCAGCTGGATGGAGCTGAGGGCAAATGGGCAAACAGGGTGGCTATCTGCCTCAGCTCTCTCCTTTCCCTGCTTAATCTCATGTCTTTTGAACGTTGTTTGGGAAAAAGCCCCAGCTCAACAACTCCAAACTCTCCTACCAGATTTTACGTCTGCTGCAAGGAGTGGGCCCAAAAGAAATTGGTCAGGGCAAGAAATTAAGCTCCTTCGTGTGACCAGTCCTCCAAGGAAGGAATTTGGAATTTTTTTCTCATCCCATTCTCTGCACAAAGTGCTTTCCTATAGTCCTCACCACCTTCACTGCCCTGCAACAGTGACCAGCCAACAGCAGTGACCCCTTGTGCTGAGCAGTCACACAGCTCTTGACATTCGGCACTGTCACAGAATCACAGAATCACAGAACGTTAGGGATTGGAAGGGACCTCAAAAGATCATCTAGTCCAATCCCCCTGCCGGAGCAGGAACACCTAGATGAGGTTGCACAGGAAGGCGTCCAGGTGGGTTTTGAATGTCTCCAGAGAAGGAGACTCCACAACCTCTCTGGGCAGCCTGTTCTAGTGCTCTGTTACCCTCACTGAGAAGAAGTTTCTTCTCAGATTTAAGTGGAACCTCCTGTGTTCCAGTTTGTGTCCGTTACCCCTTGTCTTATCATTGTTTGTCACCGAGAAGAGCCTGGCTCCATCCTCGTGACACTCACCCTTTATATATTTATAAACATTATCGAGGTCTCCCCTCAGTCTCCTCTTCTGCAAACTAAAGAGACCCAGCTCCCTCAGCCTTTCCACATAAGGGAGATGCTCCACTCCCTTAATCATCTTTGTAGCCCAACACTGGATTCTCTCCAGCAGTTCCCTGTCCTTCTTGAACTGAGGGGCCCAGAACTGGACGCAATATTCCAGATGCGGTCTCACCAGGGCAGAGTAGAGGGGGAGGAGAACCTCTCTCGACCTACTAACCACCCCCCTCCTGATACACCCCAGGATCCCATTTGCCTTCTTGGCCACAAGGGCACAGTGCTGGCTCATGTCGTAACAGCTATTTGAGTCCCTAGGGCCAATTCCAGCCTTTATAGAAGCAGGGAGCAAAACATAGGCAGTGTCTAAAACCTGGCCTTCCAAACCTGCTTGAGCAATTTTCTGTCAGTGCTGCTCAGAAGTGACCAGGTGAAGGCCGTACAGGGCTTCAAAGCCTCAAGATGCCTTAGCCTAGGTCTTGGCCACACAGGAGACATGAGGCCTTACTGGGGAAGAAATGGCATGGGCAGCACCCAGTGGCTATCTTTGTCATGGCAGGGTAGGTATCCACAGCAGAAAGCTTCTTAGAAGAAGCAAAGCCTTGCAACAGCAGAGCTCTACCCACATCAGCTGCCTCTTGCAGGACGTGTTAGCATAAGCATAACACAATTTCCAGGTCTCCAGTTTGCTTCCTTAATGCTCAGAATCCTGCCCCTTCTCTGTCTTAGCTCCAATGGGATGTGCAAACTGCTTGAACTGTGGTCGGAGGGAGGGCTCAACCAGTGCACTTTCACAGGTAGGCAGGTACATGAATTTTGTTTTATACACATGGTCAGCTTCTCCTCTCTGCTTTGCTGTATGTGATAGGGGACAGGGCAGACTAAGAAGGTAAAAGCAAAGGCTTACAAACTAGAGAGGAAAGAATAACCCTCTAGGGATTCATTGGTTTGAGTGGTGTTTAAGACGTTTAAGGGAGGTCAGATCGTCGTCTTGGGGTCTTTGTGTCCCTTGCCTTTCCACAGGTATATGCCTACACCAGAGACTTCATTTCTGCTCTTTTGGACTTAGGTTGATGTAATTTACATTATGATTGGATGGCAATTCATCTGGCAGCCCATGTGCAATGCAGACTTTTGTGGAACTCACAGCCACAGGATGTCCTCCAGGGCTGCTCTGGACATTATCAGTGGATTATGTGCCACATCAGTGAATTAACTGCCTTACCCAGATCCGACCATGAATTGAATTTGCAGAAATTTCCCCTGCAGCAGGGTGCCCCAGGGGCTTCACTGTGGCGGATTGCTGATGACACTGCCCATGTACCTCCTCAGTGCAGGAGGTAGCCTTTGAAACTCAAAAGCAGTGCTGCATCAGGGAGTGGTAAGCTGGCTCAACTCCACCATTTCCCTGTGTCCTCCTAGGACTGCAGAATTTTGCAGTGCCAATCATTGCACCCTGAGCCCTCCTCCCACCCACAAGCCGTGGCGGTAGCAGCCACCCTGTAACAGTTCTTACTCTCAAGTCCCTGCAATGCATCAGGAAGGCAGGTGCTCACAGCTGCCAGATCCATAGTACCGCTGGGACCACTCTCTCCAGCTTAATTTTAGTGACTTGCAGGCAATATGTCTGGACTAGTGACTCATTCCTTGCTCTTTTTTTTTTTTTTTTTTTCCTTTCCCCTGCCCTCCCCCTTCCTGTTCTGTCTCTGCCTGTGCCTGGCAGTGTGAGTGAGTGCTGTACCAATATGACTGCCTGTGACGTGAGCCTAGGAGCATTAATGCAGAAATGTTTTGGGGAACGGGTGTCCCCAGCAACCCACAGAGGCAGTTCCCAAAGAGAGGATTCTGGCCTCAGGTGTCCCTCTCAAAGCCTGCATCTCATCCTTTCTGTGGCTAGGAGGGGAGACTACTTTTCCTTCGAACACATGGAGGCTGAGAAGAGGAAAGGCAAAAGCCACAGTGCAATCACCCCAATATTTGTAATCACATGATATTTGCACTTTACAGAGGAATGCAGGGGGCTCAGCTGAGAACTTAGCAACTCAGTGCCTGAATCAGGCCTCGTCTCTTCATCCTACAGAGGTTGGGGCTCCCTGAGACCAAGCTCAGCGCGGTGCTGCCTGGGTTATCCCTGCTGAAGGGCTGTGTTCCCCCAAGGCGCAACACATCACGGGCATGGCAAGAACGTACGGTGTGTTTATTGGGTTTTACTCACTACGTCATAACCTCGGAGGCTGGTGAGGAAGAGAAGAGGCAGCTGGGGTGGGGTGAGTGTGGGGAAGTTGTGCAAATGGAGAAACCAGTGCTACAGATCCACAACAGTCTTTCAAGCCAGCAGAAGTCAAAAGCGCAGTGACCACCACAAGGTACCGAGCTTCGGGATGCTGGAGTCATCGCTCTCCTGTGTGCTGGGCAGAGCTTAGCATCAGGATGGGGCCAGGATCTGTAGCCAAAAACATGATAGACCTTGTGAAACCAGCTTAGCCGTTTTTCTGTTGTCTCTCTCTCTCTGCCCTGGTGGGGGTGGGAGAGCAAAGGGGCAGGATCTCAGATAAAAAGCCCACACTCCTCTCCCTCTTCAGGCTCTGGTCAGCTTTGTCTTTCATACTGAAGCCTCTCTCCTCCTGCTGCTGCCTTGAGTTAAAGGGGAAGGGCAGATGGGGACAATATGAGGAGTAAAGGAGTCCTGGGGCAGAAGCTGCTGCCTGACAATGAACTGCAGCTCAAAAACCCCTTTTAGGTGAGCAGGGCCTGATAAGAAGAAGGGCCACTGAGCAATTGCCATGAATAAGGAACAGCTCTTTTTTTTCCTATAGACAAAGGCTGTGGCTTCACAGCTCCCACAGCAGGTCAACCCCAGGGCAGCTGGGATGCAGTTCCCCCTGTGGCAGAAGGTGACAGACAGTTCTTCTTTGTGAGGGCAGAGGTTGCCCTGCAGCAGGAGATGGGGGTAAACCTGCTCATGGACAGACAGAAAGAAGAAGGAAGTGATTCATGGATTTGTGTGCTCCATCATACCATGTCCTGTCCTCCTCTCCTCAAGCAGGACTGCTGTCTCCCTCTCTCTCCCTGAGGGTGACCCATCCCACCAGGCACAGCAGGTCATAGGAACCCAGCAGCCCTGACATTTCATGAGCAGGCAAGGGCCACTGGAGTAATTCCGAGGGATCCTTTCAGACTTACTTGCTTAGAGGAGGCTGCATGCTCGTTTCTTTGTCCGGGTGGGCTGCGGACAGAGAACTGCTCGGATGGCCTCATCAAACACCGTCTTGAGGCCACGCTGCGTCAAAGCCGAGCATTCGAGGTATTTTACAGAGTCTGTCAGGAGAAAAGCAGGTGCTGTCATGGGGAGGAAGGGAACTGGGGTAGGCAGTGAGGGTATCCTGCTGCA